AGATTTATAAGGGCAGATTTAGGGGTAAGGGAGTTGATTATTGATTAATACTGATTGCTGTACATATATTTATGCATGTAGATTCCCAGGTCTCAAATTGCCCAATAGAATATACCATTCAAAGCCTCCTCACTCTTCTACTGTAGTGGTTTTTGTTTTTAAACCTTGAATGACATTTCACCTTTCTAAATCTAGATTCCCTTTTGTAAAGGGGATAATGATCCTTGATGTTACTTCACAGGGCTGTTTTCAAGAGGAATCAATTGAATAGCGTAAGTACTATTCCAGATCTTATTTTGATTTGTCAAGCTAGAGATGTGAGCAAATTCCAATTAAGATTAAACCAAAGACATCTGAGACTTTGAGGATTCAGGAATGAGAAAGCAGAGTGGGTCAGCTCTGTGGCTGGAACTTCTATTTAACTTAGATGCATCAGGACAAGAGTTACTCAGCTGGAATTCCCTTCACTATTGACTCATAATGTAAACCTAGGTGAGTCACAGAGCATTATAGTACTCTTCAACAAAGAACTCCTGAGCTGGTTTCCTTACCAGAGGAATATTTCAAAAAGTGAGTTTGCTATAGAAATGATTAGCTCTTAGAGATGTTAAGAACTGTGGGCCAGCAGCAGTGGCTTCCAGCAAAGAACTCCTGACCTGGTTTCCTTACCAGAGGAATGTTTCAAAAAGTGAGTGTGCTTATAGAAATGATAAGCTCTTAGAGATGTTAAGAACTGTGGGCCAGCAGCAATGGCTCACACCTCTTTTCCTAGCACTTTGAGAGACCAAGGTGGGAGGAGGTTTGAGGCCAGGAGTTCAAGACCAGACCAAGCAACATGACAAGACTCTCTCTCTAAAAAGAATAGTTGGGCATGGTGGTGTGTGCCCATAGTCCCAGCTACTCAAGAGGCTAAGGCAAGAGGATCGCTTGAGCCCAGGAGTTGAAGGCTGCAGTGAGCCATGATCGTGCCACTGCACTCCAGCCTGGGCAAGAGAGCAAGAGAAAAAGGTTCTCAATCAGAAATTTATCACAGAAGCCATGTAGCATAATAGAGAATATTAACTTCCAGTTCAAGTTAAGGATGATGAACAATCTCTTCTACATTCCAAAATTGCTTTGAAATAGTAAAAAATATTTTCATTTCTAAAATGCTCAAAAACATAAAACAGGAACCAGTTACCTCAAGATTTGATAGATCTGTGGAATCTACAACATCCAGATAATTTATTTTCTCAGCAGAACCCTGAAATAATTCCAAAATGGATATTAACAGGTCTGGAGAATTAAATGTTAGAATAGCTTAGCAAAGGCCCGCAGAGTAGCTGCTCTTTTTAGATGTTTCATCTTTAGCTCAGTTTTGTTCATTCGTGTATTTCCAGAAAATTGTCTCAGATTTTTTGTTATTCAAATAACCAGTTCTTAGACTTATTAATCAATTTTACTGGGGTTCTGTATGGTAATTACTAACCTCTGCTTCAAATGTTCATTTCTTAGGCTTTCCTGAGCATTTGTTTAAACCTTGTATTGTTTGGGTACGATGGCTCACGCCTGTAATCCCAGCATCTGGGGAGGCCAAGGAGGGAGGATCCCTTTAGCCCAGGAGTTTAAGACCAGCCTGGGCAACATAGGGAGACCTCATCTCTTCAAAAAAATGAACAAAAAATAGCTGGTTGGTATGCACCTCTAATCCCAGCTACTCAGGAGGCTGAGGTGGGATAATGGCCTGAGGCCAGGAGGCAGAAGTTGCAGTGAGCTGTGATTGCAGCACTGCACTCCAGCCTGAGCAACAGAACCAGACCTTCATATGTTTTTGCAGAGTCAGGCTGGTCTCCAACTCCTGGGCTCAAGCAGTTCTCCTTCCTTGGCCCCCCGAGGTGCTGAGATTACAGTTCTGAGCCACTGTGCCTGGCCTGTTTCCTGATCTCTTATTTTCTTTATTTTTGTCTCCTTGGGTTGCATTCTAGGTAATTTCAGATCTATCTTGGAATTCATTGGTTATCTCTCTTCAGCTGTGTCTAATCTGCTATTTTAATATTTATATTATTAATTTTCATTATTAATTTTCATAAGTTACATAGTATTAAATCATACTACACATAATGTATTTATTTTTATTTTCTTTTTGAGACAAGGTCTTGCTCAGGCTGGAGTGCAGTTGGATGATCACTATTTTGTTTTTAAAAGATGCAATGTGCCGGGCACGGTGGCTCAAGCCTGTAATCCCAGCACTTTGAGAGGCCGAGGCATGTGGATCACAAGGTCGAGAGATCAAGACCATCCTGGTCAACATGGTGAAACCCCGTCTCTACTAAAAATACAAAAAAGTGGGCCGGGCGCGGTGGCTCAAGCCTTTAATCCCAGCACTTTGGGAGGCCGAGGCGGGTGGATCACGAGGTCGAGAGATCGAGACCATCCTGGTCAACACGGTGAAACCCCGTCTCTACTAAAAATACAAAAAACTAGCTGGGCGTGGTGGCGCAGGCCTGTAATCCCAGCTACTTAGGAGGCTGAGGCAGGAGATTTGCCTGAGCCCAGGAGGCGGAGGTTGCAGTGAGCCAAGATCGCGCCATTGCACTCCAGCCTGGGTAACAAGAGCGAAACTCCGTCTCAAAAAAAAAAAAAAACAAAAAAGTTAGCTGGGCATGGTGGCGCGTGCCTGTAATCCCAGCTACTCAGGAGGCTGAGGCAGGAGAATTGCCTGAACCCAGGAGGCGGAGGTTGCGGTGAGCCGAGATCGCGCCATTGCACTCCAGCCTGGGTAACAAGAGCGAAACTCTGTCTCAAAAAAAAAAAAAAAAGATTACATAGAATGTATATATCAAGGTGGAAAGAACTGGCATCTTACAATATTGAGTCTTCCTACCCATGAGTGTTATATCTCTCTCTACTCATGTAGCTGTTTTTAAACATTATCTTTCATCAGAATCATGAGGTTCTCTTTATATAGATCTTGTACGCATTTTTTTTTTGCCCACCTGCAACTGTCTTGATCAAGTTATATATATTCATTCTTAAGTATTCTTTTTGGTGCTAATTAAAATGGCAGTGTGTTTTTTATTTTTGTTTTGTTTTTGAGGCAGAGTCACTCTGTTGCCCAAGCTGGAGTGCAGTGGCGTTGAAGCAGGAACGGCGGGGAACAAACCTCTGGAACAACAAACTGAGGAAGGAAGTGGCTTTTTATTCGGCCAGGGGCTGCTCGGGGTGGTGGGGGAGGGGTGGTGGCTGCAGCCTCATTCACCGAGCCCCTGGAACTGCAGCTTCTCTCCCCTTTAATAGGCTTATGCTAAAGGAGAAGCTGGGGCGGAACTATGTCATTGTCCATTTGCTGGATTTCCGACCTTACAGTCTTTTGACTTCATTGATTTGCTAATTGATAACGCAGCTCCAGGTGGAGGGGGACAGCAAGGGAAGGGGGCTTACAGAGACCAAACAAAAGCAGCAAGCTGTTGGCAGAGGTGTTTCCTGGAGGGAGCCTGGTCTGTGGAGATGTGGGGGCATGACCCAGTGCCTGGCTCCAGCTGGCAGAGGTAACATTCATTTGCAGCTCTTTCAAGGTTAGCAGATAGCAGAGATGCTGGGAACTAAAGAGGGAGTCATTTTTCCAGCTCGGTATTTTATTTCATTTTTTTTTTCCTTCTTCACCCTCTTTCCCTTCTGGAAAGAGGGAAGGAGGAGGTGAAATTGAAGGAGGTGAAGGGGTCTCCCCTCTCAGCGTGGTCTCGGCTAACTGCAACCGCCACCTCCCGGGTTCAAGCAATTCTCCTGCCTCAGCCTCCCATGTAGGTGGGACTACAGATATACGCCACCACGCCCGGCTGATTTTTGTATTTTTAGTTAGAGACGGACGGGGTTTCATCATGTTTGCCAGGGTGGTCTCGCTCCCGACCTCAGATGATCCATCCACCTCAGCCTCTCAAAATGCTGGGATTATAGGCTTGAGCCACTGCCTCTGGCCAGCAATGTGTTTTTAATGTGGAATTCTAATCGTTCGTTGCTGGTATATAAGAAAACAGTTGGGCTGGGCGCGGTGGCTCACGATTGTAATCCCAGAATTTTGATAGGCCGAGGCGAGTGGATCACCTGAGGTCAGGAGTTCGAGACGGGCCTGGCCAACATGAAGAAACCCCATCTCTACTAAAAATACAAAATTTAGGGGGTTGTGGTGGCAGGCGCCTGTAGTCCCAGCTACTCGGGAGGCTGAGGCAGTAGAAGTGCCTGAACCCGGGAGGCAGAGGTTGCAGTGAGCTGAGATCGAGCCAAAGAAAACAATTGGCTGGTATTGAAACCCCGTCTCCTAAAAATACAAAAATAATCCCAGCTACTTGGGAGGCCGAGGCAGGAGAATGGCTTAAACCTGGGAGGTGAAGGTTGCAGTGAGCTGAGATCATGCCACTGCACTCCAGCCTGGTGACAGAGCAACACTCCATCTCAAAAAAAAAAAAGTTAACAAAGATAGTTTTATTTCTTCCTTCCCAACCTTTTACCTTCTTTTCTTGTCTTACTGAACTAATCAGGGCTTCAATATGATGTTGAATAGGAGTGGCAAGAGGGGGACATCTTTATTCTAATTTTAGGGAGAAAAATTGTAGTTTCTCACCATTAAGTATACCCTAGCGGTAGGGTATTTTGGTAGTTGTTCTTTAGCAAGTTAAGGACAGTTCCCCTCTACTAGTTTGAATGAGTGAATGTTGGATTTCTGAGGCTTCCGTTTGAAATCATGTGAATACTTGGGTGACACCCAGAGGGAAATGTTAGGAAGGTGGTTGGAGATAAGCATAGTATCTAGGAGAGGGAACTGAGTCAAGAAAGAGCAGGGAATCACTGGCATATCCACAATGCCCAAAGTCATGGCTATTGACATTATTGCCAGGGAAGTATGTGCTGCTGCTGCTGCTGTTGATCAGGCAGCTGGTTAACTTGACCAAAAGCAATCAACATTCTGTGCACAACAAATACCTGTGACTCTAAAAGTGTGTTCCTGAGGATAGCCTGACTACCTCACTGGGACCACAGTGTAAAGACTGTTGATGACTTGCTGTACCTTAGGCACTCTGCTAGACAGTTCTTCGCACTATCAGGTTATCTCACTTGATCCTTGCAATGTTCAGGATGAGCACTGTTAATCCCATTACCCAGATTGAGAAAACTGAAACCCAGAGAGTTTCAATATCCTACCCAGGTGAGAGTGCTCATAAGACACGGCTGAAAGTGACTCTGAAGCCTGTGCTTGCCTTGCCACACTGCCCACAGTGTTTGGGCAAGGTGAAAAAACTGAGGCTCAGATGGAAATGACTGCAGGGAGTCTGAGGAGAGGATGTGGGCTCCATCTTCTGCCCCGTTGAGTCACCTGGAGTGGCCTGAGGCTCAACACCACTCCCTCTAGGAGGAAAGGGCTTGCTTGGCCCAAAGCGCCTAGCCTGGAGTGTCTAGTCCTGCACTTCGAGAAGAGGTGTAGGTCTAAGGAGAACCTCCACCTCCAGAATTCAGGCAATGGTGGCTAAGATGGGAGGACAGTTACCCATCCACTGACCCTGGCCCCTCACACTCTGAAGCCCTGGTCTTCCACATGCCCTGACCCAGCATACCTGTACTCTCCAACCCCCGAGGGTGGGCCTGAGCTGAGTTTGAGTCTGTGTGCTGCTTTACAGTGTTTGAATAATTCAAGCCCCAGAGGCCTGAGGTGTCAGTTTTCGTTGCTCTGTTGTCATGGGCACAGGTGTCTCAACACCTGTGTAATGCACATGTGTAATTAAGCTAATGAAAGGACAGAGAGGGAGTGGTGCCGTCCTGTGCCTTGGACTCCTCTAGGCTGATCAAGGGAAGTCCCTGGTCCCTGTTCTGCTGAGAGAGCAGCAGGCTCATCCAGAGTCCAGGTGTGGGGAATGGAAGAAGGAAGGAAGGAAGGAAGGGTGAAACAGAAGTAGTAGAAAGGGATAGAGAGTGGAAAGAGGTGGACAGGGGATAATCAGAGTCAGGGAGGCAGAGAGACCAAGAAAATTACATAGGGAAGGACAAGGAAGCAGAGACAGAACAAAAGCAAAGTGGGTGGGGAGCATAGGAAAGGGCAGGCAGAGGCCAGAAGAAGCAAGGCCCAGCAGAGAAGAAGAAGGACCAAGCGCTCAAGTCCAGGGGCAAGCACCAGTTGGAGGATCAGAAGACTGGAGGGGCTGCAGGGTGCCTTAGAGGGTGGCTGGACCCGCCAGAGATCTCAGCCTTACTTCTGACTTCTAGGTACGGTCCACACCATCCTTGCCAGCTGGGCCTAATTTTGCCTTAGGTCTGGCCAGAAGGCCTCACACCCAGAGACCTGCCCCACTTCCTACTGTGGCAAGGCCATGGGGCTCCAGAGCCACCACCTCAGCCTGGGCCTTCTGTTGCTGTTTCTACTCCCTCCAGGTATGAAGCTCAATACCCCAGCCCTGGCCTCTCCTGGCAGTGCTGCTTTTCCCGTCCTCCCCAAATCCCTTTCCATGTGGTCTCTCTTGTCTTCCTCCTCAGTACCTGTTCTGAGAGCAAGCTCTCTATTCAGGGAGTGTAGAGGAGAAGGGTGCTGAAGATGGTGAGAGGAGACTTGCCTGGCTGGGGTGGGAGCAGTGAGCAGGGAGACTCCAGAGACAGGGCCGCGAAAATCAGAAGGGCCAGATGCTGAAGGGCCTGCCAGCCAGGCCAGGACTTTCTCTTGCAGACAATGGGGAGCACTGAAATGTTTCAGTCACATCCTGGCCTGGTCAGATGTGCATGCTTAAAAGCATGGTCTATGGGCATGGAACAGGTAGGGAAAGGTGAGCCTCAGGGAGGGGATGGCAGTAGAGGAGCCTGGCCTGGAGGGGAGAGGATGGACTCAAGATAATGTTTAGCGAAATCTGGAGGATTGGATCTGACAGTGATCTGGAGATTGAATGGATTCTCCAGGGAGGAGGTGGGAGAGGGAGAAGGGAGGGATAATTCCCAAAATTCCAGTTGAGGTCACTAGTCCAGCTGAGGGCATGCTATTTGCTAAGATAGGGAACATGGGATAAGAAGCAGTTTTCGGCCGGGTGCAGTGGCTCATGCCTGTAATCCCAGCACTTTGGGAGGCCGAGGTGGGCGGATCATGAGGTCAAGAGATCAAGGCCATCCTGGCCAACACAGTGAAACCCTGTCTCTACTAAAATACAAAAATTAGCTAGGTGTGATGGTGCACGCCTGTAGTCCCAGCTACTTGGGAGGCTGAGGCAGGAGAATTGCTTGAAGCTGGGAGTTGGAGGTTACAGTGAGCAGTGAGCTGAGATCGGCCACTGCACTCCAGCCTGGTGCCTGGCGAAAGAGCGAGACTCTGTCTCAAAAAAGAAGAAGTTTCAGAGCATAGAGGGAAGAACTGAGTTCGTATTTTGTTCCCTCAGAGTTTACGGTGCCTGTGGGAAACCCAGGAGTAGACTACTCTATTTGGATCTGGAGCTCGAGAAAAATCTGGGATAAAGAAAAAGAAGGGAGCCAAGGACAGGATTCTCAGGAACAATCTTTAGTTCTGGGATTGAAGACAGTGTGTGTCAGGAAAGCCTAGGGAAGTGTGTTTTCAGAAGGAAGGAATGTTCCATCATGTCAGAAGTTTTGAAAAAACCAGCTTGAGATGGAGAAGTGGAAACTGTAAGATTATTTGAAAGAAAGGAGAGGCAGACCCAGGGTCAGGTTTAGCAAGTTTATTTAACCTGCCAGCCTGTCTCACCACAGGCAGTGAAGGCAGCCGCCTGGCTTACAGACTATGGGGGTTATATAGGGGTTTGCAGGCAGTCGGGTACTATTCTAATAAAAACTGTATTCTGGTTCTTAGGGCCGACATCCCTTCACTGGGGTCAACATCTTGGGTTTGAGAGCCACGTGCGACCACATCCCAAAATCTAGGTGCCCTGTTTACAAGTCCTGAGGCTGTTTCTGTTATAAGCTTGGCTTAACAGGGGAGAATGGAGGGGGTGGGCTATGGGCCCTTGTTACAAACCTAACAGAAACAGGTTTGAGAGAGACTGGAGAGGGCAGAACAGTGGAGTTCAGAATCCCTGGGTGAAAGTCTATACTCTTGTGGCTTATTTGGGTTGCTCCGGCATTTGTGGAGAGGCAGGCAGACTCTAGGTCCTTGGAAAGGGAAGGGTGGAGGAGAAATTTGTCAGCCTGGTGCCAGAAGATACGACCAGTTCACTCCATGGCCTTTACCTCATGTGTCCCTGCAGGCAGGCCAGGGAGAAACTAGAGCCACAGCCAGAGCAAGAGAGGACAGACACCAGGAGGGCATTCATAAGGACAGGGCCCTGGCAGTGGAGGGTGGGAGCAGAGGCCCCAGGACTAGGGCCTGGGATGGACAACCCTCCTTACTGCCCCTCCAGAGTGCCTGGGAGCTGAGGGCCGGTTGGCTCTCAAGCTGTTCCGTGACCTCTTCACCAACTACACAAGTGCCCTGAGACCTGTGGCAGACACAGACCAGACTCTGAATGTGACCCTGGAGGTGACACTGTCCCAGATCATCGACATGGTGCGTTGTGGTGGTGATACAGCTGCGGAATCTTAGCTGTCTCAGTGTCAAGAAATGAAGGGGTGAGAGACTGGGATTCTTCTCCATGGAATCCCTTTTCTGTAGATATTAATATTAACAACAGTAATGGTTACTAACTGTGGGGTACTGACTGTTGGGTGCCTACCTTGTACCCAACATTTTGCACACTTGAACTTACTGAATCCTTGCTAAGCAGGGATTCTTGCCCCATATAACTGCTGAGGAAACTGAGGCCCAGAAGAAAGAAGAGCCCACTAAGGTTACATGGCAAGGTCAGGCCTGGGTGGGAACTGGACAGTATGGACAGGTTGGGTGTGTGGGTGCTGACCAGAGCCCTGCAGGTGAGTGTGCACAGACAGGGCAAGATATACATATACATGTCCACATCTCTGCCATTCCTTGCCCCCACTAGGATGAACGGAACCAGGTACTGACTCTGTACCTGTGGATACGGCAGGAATGGACAGATGCCTACCTTCAATGGGACCCCAATGCCTATGGTGGCCTGGATGCCATCCGCATCCCCAGCAGTCTTGTGTGGCGGCCAGACATCGTACTCTATAACAAGTACTGCCTATCCGGGCCCCTCCCCTCTCCTACCCCTCTCTAGACTTGCCCTTAGCCCTGGGTGTGCACTGATGCCCTCTCCCTACCACCTGACCCAGTTGCCATGCTGCCCTGGAAGCTTTCCCCCAGGACCCTTCTAAGCTGCCCGGCACTCACAACCCCTCCATGGCACCCCCACTTTAGGCCGTCCCAGACCAGCCCAGGCTGAACATCTGCTGGGAACCTACTGTGTGGTCCAGGGCAGATGTCTGAATCACAAGGGCCTCTCTAGGGCACACTTTTAGCTCCAGGTCTCTCAGGGCTCTCTCAAGAGCCTGTCTAAGGGTCTCTTTCCTTCAGGACACAACCCTCTGGAACACTGCTTTATTGTCTCTTTGATCAGTTCCTTGTCTCTCAGCCAACATATTGCTCTGCATATTTTCTCTGGGAACTTCTCTACAAGTTTTGCAGATGGCCCCCAAGGGAAGTCACTGTATGGCCTAGAGGTACCTCTGGGTTCTGCAGAGGCCCTTTTTTTTGAGACAGAGTCTTGCTCTATCGCCAGGCTGGAGTGCAGTGGCGCAATCCCGGCTCTCTGCAACTTCCATTTTCCAGTTTCAAGAAATTCTCCTGCCTCAGCATCCTGAGTAGCTGGGACTATAGGCATGCACAACCACGCCTGGCTAATTTTTTTGAATTTTTAGTAGAGACGGGGTTTCACCATGTTGGTCAGGATGGTCTCGATCTCTTGACCTTGTGATCCGTCCGCCTCAGCCTCCCAAAGTGCTGGGATTACAGGCGTGAGCCACGCGCCTGGCCTGCAGAGGACTTTTTATACATCCTCTAGCTCTAGCTAGTCTGTGTCCCTTCTGGGCCCTTCAGGCACCACCCCTTCTAGGCCTTGAAAGGTAGTGGGTCTCTCTAGGTACACTTCACCCTCTCTGTAGCTTTGTTCTGAAAACAAAAATAAAATTAACGAAAGAAAAGCAGAAGTTTATTAACCTGCTGTACCCCTCACAGGAGAGGCCTTAGTTCAAAAGTATTTTTCTCTGAAGGCAGCAGCTTAGGGGCCTTGTTTAAATAGAGATTCAAGAAAGAGCCAGTAAGCTGTAAATAGTGGCAAGACAAAGGAGAGGGCAGTTCCAGCCTTTAAAGGGCAGGAAAACGTGGGAAGAGGGTGAAATCTGTTCCCAGATTCCTCTGGTGCCTGCTGGTGCCCTTTGGATAAGCAAGTGCTGTCTCCAGCAAGGAAGGGCTGATGTCCTGCCATCAGGCCAGCAGAGGGTGGGGCCGGGTGCTCCCCTGCGTTGTGAGTGTCTCAAACTTAACCAGCCTCAATATTCTGGGGAGAAGTTTTGGTTTCCGTCAGCCCCTGGGGGTCTGCCGTGGGCTCCCGGCCGGCTGCTCCTCCGGCAGAACAGCCTGGGTGAGCCCCGCTCCGCCTGTTCACAGGGCGGATGCGCAGCCTCCAGGCTCCGCCAGCACCAATGTGGTCCTGCGCCACGATGGCGCTGTGCGCTGGGACAGGCCGGCCATCACGCGCAGCTCGTGCCGCGTGGACGTGGCGGCCTTCCCGTTCGATGCCCAGCGCTGCGGCCTGACGTTCGGCTCCTGGACCCATGGCGGGCACCAGCTGGATGTGCGGCCGCACGGCGCCGCCGCCAGCCTGGCGGACTTCGTGGAGAACGTGGAGTGGCACGTGCTGGGCATGCCGGCGCGACGGCGCGTGCTCACCTACGGCTGCTGCTCTGAGCCCTACCCCGATGTCACCTTCACGCTGCTGCTGCGCCGCCGCGCCGCTGCCTATGTGTGCAACCTGCTGCTGCCCTGCGTGCTCATCTCGCTGCTCGCGCCGCTCGCCTTTCACCTGCCCGCCGACTCGGGCGAGAAGGTGTCGCTGGGCGTCACCGTGCTGCTGGCGCTGACCGTCTTCCAGCTGCTGCTGGCCGAGAGCATGCCGCCGGCCGAGAGTGTGCCGCTCATTGGTGAGCAGCTGGGGCACAGGGTGGGAGGGGGGCGGTCACGATGCACGGGGGGGTCCCCAAGGGTAGGGCCTCGACTGGGCCTGGGTCTGCGGAGTAGCCCCGCTTCAGAGCGTGAGAGAGGGGCGTCCTGGGAACATGTCCTGATTTTCAGACTGAGAGGAAAGGATTAGATGGTAGAACAAGGCCTACTTGTTGGTGGAACATCAGAGCCTACTAATAGGCAAAATCTACTGAGTGCTCGCTGTGTGCCAGGCACTTAACCTTTATTAACTCAGGTAAGCATCACCACAAACCTAGGAAGTAGGCCCTCTGGTTATCTCCATTTGTACAGAAACGATGTGTATCTTGCCCCAGCTCATGCCCATCATTATTTGAGAGCAGGACTCTTCTGGATTGTGTATGAGTACAGCCTGCAGCAGTAAGGGGAGCAATTAGGGAGCAGTAGCTTCTGATGACCCACATGTAGGAATGAAAGATGGGAAGAACTAGGCCCCTACCTCCTTCCTGCTTCCATCCATGGGGAGAGCCTTATGCTGGGCTTATTTCCATTTGTGCAGAGGAAATAAGCTTTTGCAGAGGAGGCTCAGGATCCACAGGCTTTTGTTTTGAGACTCAATTGGCTCTCTCTCTTGCAGGGAAGTACTACATGGCCACTATGACCATGGTCACATTCTCAACAGCACTCACCATCCTTATCATGAACCTTCATTATTGTGGTCCCAGTGCCCACCCAGTGCCAGCCTGGGCTAGGGCCCTCCTGCTGGGACACCTGGCACGGGGCCTGTGTGTGCGGGAAAGAGGGGAGCCCTGTGGGCAGTCCAGGCCACCTGAGTCATCCCCTAGCCCTGAGCCTCCTGAGGGAGGGGCTGGCCACCCAGAGGGCCCTTGCCATGAGCCACGGTGTCTGTGCCGCCAGGAAGCCCTGCTGCGCCATGTAGCCACCATTGCCAATACCTTCCACAGCCACCGAGCTGCCCAGCGCTGCCATGAAGACTGGAAGCGCCTGGCCCGTGTGATGGACCGCTTCTTCCTGGGCATCTTCTTCTCCATGGCCCTGGTCATGAGCCTCCTGGTGCTGGTGCAGGCCCTGTGAGGACTGGGACTAAGTCACAGGGATCTGCTGCAGCCACAGCTCCTCCAGAAAGGGGCAGCCACGACCAAGTGGCTGCTGGTCTTTAGGCCAGCTAGTCTCTCCCCACTACTCCTAAGACCCTGGACACTTGACTTCACAATCCACAAGGGAGCACTCATTGTCTACACACCCTAACTAAAGGAAGTCCAGAGACCTAATTCCAAAAAAAGAGGAACTCTACAAAGGCATTGTCACAGAGTACAGCCTTGGAGGCACAGAATTGTTGGTGCTGTGTATTTGAGCTGTCCGTGGTGAGCATGCTGGTTATTTTGATAAACAGAACTGCCACATTTCCTGTCTTCCTTCCTAGGTGACTGCTTTGCAGGGCCTTGGCTCTTACCTTTCCCTGCCTAGGGGCGCAGGGAAAAGGATTGGGGGTTCTCAGTCTAGTTTCCAGATAGGAGGCCCTATGGACATTTGGCCCCAAATTCCCAGTTCAATAAAGTAAGCGTGTACCTAGCACCTCCTCGATATCCTGTATTACCCTTGAGGTCTGTGGTGGTGGAAGCTGGGGGTCCAGGTCTGTCTGTACTTCAGGCCTGTCTCATGGCCGCTGGTGCAAGTCCTGGAATTCAATGCCTGAGAACCTGAAGTTCTGATGTCCAATGGTAAGAGAAGGATGTCCCAGCTCTAGGAAAGAGCATGAATTTGCCTTTCTCCTGCCTTTTTGTCCCCTCCATGCCCTCCCACATTGAGACTGGAACTTACCCACTCAGTCCACCAACTCACATGCCAATCTCCTGTTGAAAACTCTCAATGATACATCTAGAAAGAATGCTTCCCCAGCTGTCTGGGTATTAGTGGTGTCCATGATGGTGGGTTATCATATCTTATGAATGCCACTGTCACTAAAGTTGGTATATTACTCCCCACTGATAAATTGGACTAACTTAAAAAGAAAAAAAAATTTAGGCAACCTGGGCAAGATAGGGAGACCCTGTTTCTACAAAAATACAAAAATTATGGCTGGGTGTGGTGGCTCACGCCCGTAATCCCAGCACTTTGGGGGGCCAAGGTGGGCAGATCACAAGGTCAGGAGTTCAAGACCAGCCTGGCCAATATAGTGAAACCCTGTCTCCACTAAAAATACAAAAAACTAGCCAGGTGTGGTGATGGGCACCTGTAATTCCAGCTACTCAGGAGGCTGAGGCAGGAGAATTGCTTGAACCCAACAGGCAGAGGCTGCAGTGAACCGAGATCACAACACTGTACTCCAGCAACAACAGTGAAAATCCGTCTCAAAAAAAAAAAAGTAAAGCCAGTACTTTGGGAGGTCAAGGCAGTAGATTACCTATTACCTGAGTTTGGGACCAGCCTGACCAACATGGAAAAATACATGTCTGTACTAAAAATACAAAATTAGCTAGGTGTGGTGGCGATTGCCTGTAATTCCAGCTACTCGCAAGGCTGAGACAGGAGAATTGCTTGAACCCAGGAGGTGGAGGTTGCAGTGAGCCGAGATTGCACCATTGCACTCTAGCTTCAGCAACAAGAGTGAAACTCTGTCTTAAAAAAAAAAAAAAAAAAAGGGCGTGGTGGCACGCATCTGTAGTCCCAGCTACTTGGGAGGCTGAGGTGGTAAGATCACTTGAGCCCAAGAGTTCAAGGCTACCATGAGCCATGATGCGAGGAGCCTCAGAAATCATAGAGCAGAAATTACACCTGTGCTGACAAAAAATAATGACTGGGATTTGACTGCGGTACTGGCAGAGGACGAGAGCTCTCTCCTGCTCTCAGTGTGCTGGAGTTAGGCACCGTCCACCCCATTCCCACACATGGACATTGAGAGCTTGACAGTGTCCAAAGCAGGGGCAGTGTAGGGACCAGCCACTCATAGGCATTTTCCTTTCTGAGATTCACACATTTCCTGATACCACCTCTGTGCCTCAGACCCAGTCCCTTCCCTCAGGAAGCTTACAGTCTGACATGGCAGACAGACATGACACATGGTATAGAGAAGCATCTAGGGCTCTATATGGGGGTGTAGACACAGGGTCCCTACCCTAGCCCAGTGGGAGAGGTCAGAGAAGGCTTCCTGGAGGCGTGGATGGGAGCTTTGCAGATGGATATATGAGGCATCTGAATAACACCAGCAGGTATCATGGCCAAGTGCTTTCCTCTTCAGTCACCCCCAAATCAGCAACAGTCCTTTCTATCTCCACTTGAGTTGCTGCCTGTCTTGAAGTCCCCCGCAATCCCCCTACTGGCCCCAACCATTATTCAGAGTCTCACTCCTGGAGCCCTGGGTAAGTTCAGTCCCCAGATTGTCTCCTGTTTCTCCCCCCAGCAGGTCTGACAGCCACCAGAGGAGGTCCTGGAGTTCCTTGCAGATGGGGTTGCCAGGAATCTTGGTTACATTGAAAGCACACACAGCCAACATCCTCAAGCTGGGCAGAGGTGGTGGGCAAGGCTGTCCTGTGTCTCATGCATCAAAGGAAGCCTGGACCATCTGGAAAGGGCCTCACCGTGAGGAACCAGAGCAGTAGTAGCAGAGCCCAGACTGCAGAGAAGGGGCTTTGCCCCATGGCTGCAGAGAAAACAGGCAGAGGGGTTGGTGGGGAGAGAGAGAGAGGTATTTAGGGGCACAGGAGCAAAGTAGGGGCACGCAGTTACAAGGTGGAGAGATTGGCAGAGTGAGCTGGACTTAAAATTGCCACGGGCAAAGGAGAAGACCAAGTTTAGGGAGGGGTGGTCCAATGGTAGTGGCTTATCAGAACTTACTAACACCAGCGTCACTGAAGTTGATGTACAGTCCCCCTGGTAACCTGGGCAACATAGGGAAATCCCTTCTCTATAAAATCCCTTGACATAGGGAAATCCCTTCTCTATAAAAAATACAAAAATTCGCCTGGCATGGTGACATGTATCTGTAGTCCAAGCTACTTGGGAGGCTGAAGATGGGAGGATCACTTGAGCCCAAGAGTTTGAGGCCGCAGTGAGTTGTGGTAGCACCACTGCACTCCAATCTGGATGACAGAGTGAGACCATGTCTCAAAAAAAAATTTTTTTTTAATAATTTAGGAAGGTAGACAGGTGAGGAGACCAGTTTAAGTCCCACTTTCTCTTTCAGAGGTCATTGGGTCTAACTTTCTGCCTTCTATTGGCATAAATAAGGCACTGCAGAGTGGGATGAAACATGGACTCAAGATCGGAGTGGGATCTGCTGTGGCTGAACTTGGCTCCTCTAAACCCTGGTAGGAGAAGGTACGGGGTGGACTTGGAGGAGAAATCTTAAACTTTCCAGTGCCTAGAATTAGATAATCAGAACTCAGAGATGCCTGGGTTAGAGGCTGGAAACCTGGCTTCTGGTCCTGGCTCTGCCACTAACTCACTGTCATCTTGAGCAAGTAACTTCTCTCTTTGGGTCTCACTTGACCATCTAAGGAGGGTAATGCTTCCTGTTCTGCCTCCTTCCCATAGATTATTGTGCAGTAAAGATGAGATGAAGGCCAGGTGCTGTGGCTCATGCCTGTAATTCTAGCACTTTGGGAGGTTGAGGCGAGAGGATCACCTGAGGTCAGGAGTTCAAGACCAGACTGGCCAACATGTCGAAACCCTATCTCTACTACAAAAATTAGCCGGGCGTGGTGGCCCACTTCTGTAATCCCAGCTACGCGAGAGGCTCAGGAAGGAATCGCTTGAACCTGGGAAGTCAGGTTGCAGTAAGCTGAGATTGCACCACTGCACTGCAGCCTGTACCACAAAAGCAAGACTCAAAAAAAAAAAAAAAAAAAAGAGATGATGTCTGGGGAGGTGCAGGGACCATCCTAGCGTAGTGGTTCAGAGTTTGGCTCTAGAGCTAGGCTAGGCTCCCTAGCCTCCAGTTCTTAGTAGCTGGGTGGTACGAGTCGGTTGCTGTCTCCTCTTTGCACCTTTGTGCCTTGGTTCTGTCATCTGCAGAACAGAGGTGATGACAGTACCATTGGGGTGTGGTGAGGATGAATGGCATGATGTACCTGGAGTGGATCAGAGGAAGCTGGGGGCGGGGGGTCCTTCCTGCCCACTCACAGAGTTCTGAAGGACGGAGGGAGCACCCAAGGCTTGGGGAGGAACTACTGTTTCTTCCCTGGAAATGGCCCATTCCCATCTAGAGACACCAAGTGTCCAAGAGAAGAGAAGAGTCACAGCTGGGGATCATCTGGTCCAATTTGCTATTTATACACATGGAGAAACTGAGGCGCAGAGAAAGAATGGGCTGGTCATAGACAAACAGCAGAGCCTGGACCACAGCCCAGGCCTCCAGCACCCAAAGCTTGGCCTCGTGACCTTCCAAGGTGGGTTTGACTGAGCCCTGAGGGCAGTTACAGAGACACTGGGTTCTGCACTGGGAGGCAGAGAAGGACCCAAGTAGGACTTTGTGGGGAGCAGCCCTTCTGTCCCTCAGCTCATGCAGCCTGAATCTCTCAGGGGCCTGACGACTGGCTTTTTCCTGCAAGGGACAGGCAGACTCAGGCTGGAGAGCAGGTGTCTCTGCTCCCCCAACCATCTGCTCTCCCACACACACATCCCCTGGCTGAGGCTGGCAACCCCCAAGGTGCCACTTCAGACAGTGCATTTTTTTTTTTTTTTCAATTTATGAGGTTGTTTTCTTATAAAAAGATCTAGGTGGGCCAGGTGCAGTGGCTTATGCCTGTAATCCGAGCACTTGGGAGGCTGAGACAGGTGGAACAACTGAGGTCAGGAGATCAAGACCAGCCTGATCAACATGGTGAAACTCTGTCTCTACTAAAAATACAAAAAATTAGCCGGACATGGTGGCATGTGCCTGTAATCCCAGCTACTTGGGAGGCTGAGGTAAGAGAATCACTTGAACCCAGGAGGCGGAGGTTGCGGTGAGCCGAGATCGCGCCATTGTGAAATAAAAAGATCCAAGTGGTGGGGCCGACCCCAGGGCAGTCTGCTCATCCCTGAACTGAGTCCCACAGGTGCCTACAGGCCTTACCTGAATTATCCAGACGGCAAGGCCCAGACTTGCACTTCTTGTCTATAGAAGAGAAACAGTAAAGAATGAAAGGCTCAAGAGCTCTCAGGATGGAAAGGGACTCCCAAACCCTGGTGGTCCATCCCTGACTTGTTCTAGGAGAAGTTAGTGCATTTCTCCCTAATTCTGCTCTTTCATGGTGGAATCTCCCTTGACTAGGTTTGCCTCAACCCCTGAGCAGCAGGGCCAGAAGGGAGTGGGCCATTAAAGCCACGGTCCATTCTGGGGCACTCCTGCTCCCTGGGCCTGTAACTTTGCCTCCCTGCCGCACTCATTGCTTCTTTTTCTGTGCCTCGCCGCAGCCTGCTTTGTGTTCTTCATATGCCTTCATCACCTTCTGTCAATTCATGCACACTCCTGATGCTGTCCAAAATAGGAAGTGAAGCCCACAGCCCTTCAGAAATTAAGAACCTGGGCCCATCCTCATGGTTCCTCTTCTGGCCTGTGCTGGGGGCATGGACAGGAGGCGTGTCTACCATTCCAGATCACAGCCTGAATTGGACCTTAGGGGCACAGCACTCGACTGCTGTCTTCCTGCCCCCGCCACCCCACCCAGCACACCCTGCAGCACAGAATCCCTCTTCCATCTCACTTTTCTCAGAAACTGTGGTTGGGGATCCTACTCAATTCTGGCAACAGCAGTCTAGGTGTCAATAATCTGGCTGGAAAATAATTCCCTTCCAGCCTCCAACCAGGAGAAAAGCCCGACCAGGTCGGCTCGCCCACACGAATGGCCAGAGACCCCTGTGTTGGCCAGAATACCCTCTTCAGCCTCCCAGCAGGCAAGTGGCCAGCTGTGGCTTAGATCCCTCCAGGGGCAGGAAGTGCACCCCTCAGAAGGTTATGTCTCCCCTTAGATGGAAGGGGTTGTGAGCTGGTGGATATGACTGAGATAGGGGCTTGGGTTTGCCAAAGTCCCTGGTGGATGGGGAAGGCCCACCTTCCGCACAGGTGCTGACCAGCGCTTGCCTTCCTACCTTTGATGTACTCGCAGTTGTAGGTACTGTGCCTGCCCAGGGCCCGAAGGTAGATGCGGGCAGGCCCCTGGGCCGGTCTGCTGGCATTGATCACTTGGAAGGTCTCAAAGGGGGGTATCAGCACCTCTTCCTCTCCAGGGAAGAAGGAGTAGCCCTTGATAGGGGCCCCAAGGCAGGTCCAGATGCTAAAGAAGGTGTCCTCACCAAACTGCTGGGCTGCAACATTCTTCAGGGAAGCGGAGGCAAAGCCCCCCAGCCTCACAGTGGCCCTAGGCCCTGCTGGTCGGAAGCGCAGGCCGTTCACGCCTCGGAACACCTGGTGGCACCGGGGTGGACGCTGCCTCCTTCCCAGCAGCTGCAGGGCCTCAGTCAGCAGGAAATGGAGTGTCTTGAAGGAGAAGTGTTGGAGGTAGTGGGCCCGGGAGCGGCCTGCCTCACGGACGGCTGCGTTGAACTCCTTGTGCAGGGGGCTGTTGGCTGTGTAGGCCAGGAGGGCCACCCCATGCTCATCGCGGAAGCCTGGAGGTGGCAGGGGTGAACGGGTAGGGCTGAGGCTCCACTCTGGACCCCAGGCCTGGCGCTCCTGCCATTGGCTGCTTGCTAGTGCCCAGCCATCTGCATATACCTTGTTGGCCTGGAACTCTGTGTGGTTGAGATCTAGGAGAGCAGCTGTCATGGCGGTGGCACAGCCAGCATACTGGTCATCAAAGGAGGTCAGGGCCATGTCCAGCGGCATCTCTCGAGAGAAGAGGTCTCGGTGTGTGATGGTGTGACCCTGGGCCTGAGGGGGCAGGAGCAGCAGGGACTAAGAGGATAGGCCCCTGGGAGAATGAGTCCCCTGCCATCTAGCTCTGCCCTCCACTGAGAAAGGCACCAAGGGCCCCAAACACACCTGGAGGGGAAGGGGATTGGGAACCTCTGGCTATAATTTCCCTAAGACTAGCATCTGGGGCTGTCCCCTTAGGATGTGATCCCCAAGGGAAGTATCAGGCATTCTTTCCTCTCTCTCTTTCTCCATCCAGGGTTCAGAAGAAGCCAATTGCTCAGTTCCCTGCTGGGACGGGGACAGTGGGGGATGCCCATACCTGAAGTGCTTCCATGAGGCCCACAGACACAAGAAGCAGAGACATCATGGCAGGCATCTGCATGCTGGTGACCCTGGGCCAGTTGCTGTCTCTCTTTGGGTCTCGGTTTCCTCATCTGGAAAATTGCAGTGTTAATCTGTATGGTTTAATAAACATGAATCGACACTTAGTCTGTGCCATTTCTAGTGCTTGGCACTGAGAGTCGTAAGATAGATGTGGAGGTTCAGAAGAGAGAGGACCGTCTTTGCTGGAAGGAACATGGGTGACTTCCTGGGGGAAGTGACGTGAACAGGGTCTTGCAGGATGAATAGGAGACTAAGATGTCAGCAAGTGGAGACTGGGAGAGAAAAGACTGGCATTTCGGATGGGAAAGGACTTCTGTGCAGCAGGAATGGGAAAAGCAAAGGTATTGGAGGTGGGAACTCTGAGGATGTGAAGAGGGAAAGAACGTCATCTAGGCTGGCAGAGCTTGCAAGGTGGGAACATTGGGAAGACTGGGGCCACTCATGAAGGTACTTGACTGCCACGGTGAAAGGCCTGGGTATCACCTCACAGGGCTTGTGGGGTTGGGACAGGGGCAGATCAAGGAGTGTTCAGCTAGGCCGGGCACGGTGGCTCAAGCCTGTAATCCTAGCACTTTGGGAGGCCGAGGCGGGTGGATCACAAGGTCAAGAGATCGAGACCATCCTGGTGAACAAGGTGAAACCCCATCTCTACTAAAAATACAAAAAATTAGCTGGGCATGGTGGTGCGTGCCTGTAATCCCAGCTACTCAGGAGGCTGAGGCAAGAGAATTGCCTGAACCCGGGAGGTGGAGGTTGCGGTGAGCTGAGATCGCGCCATTGCACTCCAGCCTGGGTAACAAGCTCGAAACTCCGTCTCAAAAAAAAAAAAAAAAAAAAAATCAGCTGGGCATGGTGGCACGTGCCTGTAATCCCAGCTACTCAGGAGGCTGAGACAGGAGAATTGCCTGAACCCAGGAGGTAGAGGTTGCGGTGAGCCAAGATCGCGCCATTGTACTCCAGCCTGGGTAACAAGAGCGAAACTCCGTCTCAAAAAAAAAAAGCAGTGTTCAGCTGATATGGCCTTAGCGGGACTCCAGGTCCAGGGGTCGCCCCCTTTCCCTGCAGTCCTCTTGTGGAGTGAGTCTTCGGTGCTTCCAGGTAGGGACAGATATAAACCCTGGGTGCTAGGGGAATAGGGGATCATAAGAGCAGGAGAGGACAGAGGGTACTGGCTTCCCCAAGGGAAGTAGTGGGAACCACAAGCCTTCTGCACCCTCCCTGTTGGGGGACAGGTGGAGTGCCCCAAGTGGCTCCAGGCATCGGGTCTCCAATGGAACAGGCAGGTTTTTTTCTTTTCTATTTTCTTTTTTTTTTTCTGAGACTGAGTCTCACTTTGTTGCCCGGGCTGGAGTGCAGTGGCGTGATCTCAGCTCACTGCAACCTCTGCCTCCTGAGTTCAAGCGATTCTCCTGCCTCAGCCTCCTGAGTAGCTGGGACTATAGGCACCCGCCACCATGCCCAGCTAATTTTTGTATTCTTAGTAGAGACAGGGTTTCACCATGCTGGCCAGGCTGGTTTCTAACTCCTGACCTCAAGGTATCTGCCTACCTTGGCCTCCCAAAGTGTAGGGATTACAGGCTTGAGCCACCATACCCGGCTTTATTGTCATTGTTTTAAGAACTAAAAGGAAACATGTTTACACATACACATTTTATTACCTTTTTTTCTCAAAAAAAAAATACATCATGAACTTTCTTCCACGTCAGTACATAAATATCTCCCTTGCTCATATTATGGCAGCTTAGTATATCTCATGGTATAAACCATAATTAACAATTTCATAACTTATGAACACTTCGGTTTTCTTCCTAATTTAAAAATATTATACACAATACTACAGTGAATATTCAGGTATATAAATTCTTGTCTACTTGTGTGCATGTTTTCATAGGAAAGATTTTGAGAAGTACAATGAGATTTAAAGAATATGAATTTTTTTTTTTTTTTTTTTTTTTGAGACAGAGTTTCGCTCTTGTTACCCAGGCTGGAGTGCAATGGCACGATCTCGGCTCACCGCAACCTCCGCCTCCTGGGTTCAGGCAATTCTCCTGCCTCAGCCTCCTGGGTAGCTGGGATTACAGGCACGCGCCACCATGCCCAGCTAATTTTTTGTATTTTTAGTAGAGACGAGGTTTCACTATGTTGACCGGGATGGTCTCGATCTCTTGACCTCGTGATCCACCCGCCTCGGCCTCCCAAAGTGCTGGGATTACATGCTTGAGCCACCGCGCCCGGCCAAGAGTGATGTTTTCAAAGGGCAAATCTGGTCATGTTCATTACCTGCTTAAAAGCCCTCTGTGCCAAAACTGACTAGAAGAAATATCTCGGCTGGGCATGGTGGCTCACGCCTGTAATCCAAGCACTTTGAAGGCCAAGGCAGGTGGATCACCTGAGGTCGGGAGTTCAAGACCAGGCTGACCAACATGGTGAAACCCCATCTTTATTAAAAAAAAAAAAAAAAAAAAAAAAGAAGCCGGGCGCGGTGGCTCAAGCTTGTAATCCCAGCACATTGGGAGGCCGAGGCGGGTGGATCATGAGGTCAAGAGATCGAGACCGTCCTGGTCATCATGGTGAAAACCCGTCTCTACGAAAAATACAAAAAATCAGCTGGGCATGGTGGCGCGTGCCTGTAATCCCAGCTACTCAGGAGGCTGAGGCAGGAGAATTGCCTGAACCCAGGAGGCGGAAGTTGCGGTGAGCCGAGATCGCGCCATTGCACTCCAGCCTGGGTAACAAGAGCGAAACTCGGTCTCAAAAAAAAAAAAAAAGAAAGAAAGAAAGAAAAAGAAATATCTCAAAATACAGAGTAAAAATGCAGAAATGAAAATTATGAGGGAAGAGATAAGAATACATCCAAGGGCCAGGAGAGGTGGCTCACGCCTGTAATCCCAGCACTTTGGGAGGCCGAGTTAGGCGGATCACGAAGTCAAGAGATCAAGACCATCCTGGCCAACACGGTGAAACCCCATCTCTACTAAAAATACAAAAAAAAAAAGGCCGGGCAAGGTAGCTCACGCCTGTAATCCTAGCACTTTGAGAGGCCGAGGTGGGTGATCACCTGAGGTCAGGAGTTCAAGACCAGCCTGGCCATCATGGTGAAGCCTCATCTAAAAACAAACAAACAAACAAACAAAAACAAAAAAATTAGCTGGGCGTGGTGGCACATGTCTGTGGTCCCAGCTACTCAGGAGGCTGAGGCAGAAGAATCGCTTGAACCCAGGAGGCAGAGGTTTTGGTGAGCCAAGACTGCACCACTGCAGTCCAGCCTGGCGACAGAGCAAGACTCTGTCTCAAAAAAAAAAAAAAAAAAAGAATACATCTAGAAAAAAAAGCAAATAAACAAAACATTCCTCCATACCCTCAGGACAGAGGCCAGCATCCTTATCCTGGCCCTCTATGCCCTCTGCAGCCCCACACCCACCACTCCTGCTTGGCTTCTGTAGTGCAGAACAAAGTCCCAGGTGGGGCTCCATGGTTCCCCTCCCTGTGGCTCTGCACACATCACCCCTCTTCTTGGGACATTTCTCCTGGCTACCCACTCTTCAAGACCTAGCCTGGGGGTCACCTCCTCCAGGAAGCCCCCTGACTCCTCTGAGCTCCCATATCACCCTGTGCTGTCCTTATCACACCGTGCTGCCCTTATGTATGCCTGGCTCCTCTCCTGGCCTGTGAGTTCCTTGAGGGCAGGGACCATGTATGCCAAGGCCAGGCACAGGGGATGCCCCCAGCATGTTTGTTGAGAGTCTGAGGAGCTTTCTCAGCACAGCTAACAGTGTAGACCACCACAGAGCAGGTGGGTGGCTGGCCTTGGTCACCTGTGTCAGGGGAGATGTGGCAGGAGCAGGAGGGATGGGGTGGGCATGGGCCCAAGGAGCCGGGGACGCTGAGCAATTGCTTTTCTAGCCCAAGGGAGCTGGCTTTCTGTCCTCCTTCTCATCCCACTCAGGGCAATTCTTTTGTCAGTTTCTCATCAAGGACCTTGCTGAACATCCTCTCGTGGGAATGTGACCTCAAATCTCTCCCCAGGAGTCCCACACTTCCCATGGCCCCCAGTCTTCCTAGGTATCCCAAACTTCTTCACCAAAGTTTCCTGGAAACTTTCTCACAACTCCTAAAATTCCACCATTCATCTCCCAAACTTCACCTCAAAACCACGTTTCCTGCCCTGCACTCAGGAGGAGAATGGTGTGCTCCTTACCTAAGCCTTGTCCTGGTTGGGGAAGCTGCTGCTGGTCTCCACCATGGCCACCAGGAGAGGAGAGGACGAGGTTTTTTTTTGTTTTGTTTTGTTTTTTATGTTGTCAATCCCTACCCCTTGCACCTCCCCCACACAGCTGCTCAGAAAGGTGACACTCCCCCATCTATTTCTGGATGTCTCCTCAGGACTCAGGAACACCAGCCTCTTCCTAGTCTGACCTGCCCAGCGTTCTTCCCACACACACATACAAAAGAAATCCCAGAGAGGAGGTGGACTGAAGCACTGGGGACCCAGGCTGGACAACTGCCTCCTCACTGGCTGTGGTCCTGCACTCTGGTCAGCCAGGGAGGAGGAAGAGAAGAGGAAGCTTCAGAGCCCCGGCCTCAGAGAGCATCTCCTTAGATGTTCCTTTCATGTGAACACTGAGACTTAACTAAGGTGCCAGGAGCAATTGGGACTAAGGTGGCTGGGTTCTGGGTCCCAGCTCCAGTCCTGACTTGCCAGGTGATCTTGGAGGACTTTCTGCCTACACTTAGGATCCCTGCCCAATGACTAGACTTGAGTCCATCTCTTGGGACCTTATTTTGGGTTCTGGGATGGGAGAAGCAATTCCTCAAGGCCAGAGGGTGAAGAGGGACAAAGCAGTGATCCCCGCAGATCTGGTCTCTCCGGCTGTCCCAGAAGGACAAGCTGACTCCAGGTGGTATCTTCTCTTCAAGCAACTGCAAACACTGAGCTTCCTCCAGAGAGAGGCAGGATAGGCAGGCGGGATAGGCAGGCAAATGCTGTTTTTCACCATGTTGGTGTAGCACCGGAGCAAGCAGAAAATCAACACCAAGACAAAAGTATGCCAAATTGCAGGGTCTTTATTGCCGGCGGCCACGGAGGACTCATGTCTCTTCAACCCGTGGCCCCGAGCTCAGGGGGAGCAAGGTATTTAAGCTGCAAAACCACATCCTTGTTCAGGGGGGCCCAGGGGTGTGCAAGGCAAGCTGTCTGTACAGAAGCTAAAGTTAGCGGTTTGTTGCAAAGGGAGGGGTGTAGCGGTGGAAATTTTTGCCTTTAACACTTCTGAGAATTGCAGTACAATAACAGTTCTGAGAAAGACACCTCTGCCCGGGGCCCAGGTAGCTTCTCTATAAGATGGCAGTGCTTAGGCTTCTGTTTTTGCCCCTATCTCATCGGTAAACAGTAGGGTGATTCCTGATTTTAGAATCTGGGAGGGCTTTGGGATGGCTAGACTCAAAGAAGGGGGCAAAAGAACTTGTCCTGGAGCCGTTTTTCTAACAAGCACTCAGGAGCACCTCCCTTCCCACCCTCCTCCAAGCCTGGACCAACAGTTTGTCTTTCTGTTTGGTCTACGGAAATGATTTTGGGAGACAGCAGGATTCCAGGTGGAAGAAACTTTATTTGGCTGACAATCTGGTGAGACGAGGGAACGACGGGACAGGGATGGGGGAAACTAATGAACCAGACCAGGATGGAGTCCTTTGGGTCTAGCATCTCTCAAGTCCAGTCCTCTGGCCGCTGGCGGGAGGAGGGGTGACATCCCCGCTCCTCCTGGCTCAGGTTGCTAGGAAGCTCTTCCCTGAGCAACCAGTTCCTCTGCTGGCCCCTTCTCCCATGACCTCTGACGGGGCATCCAACTCTCAGAGCCAGGTTATTTATAGATAAGCCCAGAGGAGGTGGGGGAAAGGCCAGTGTTTACAAACATGGGTCACCTGAGTCTGAGCGGTCGGGGGAGGGGCGAGCCTGGACCCGACCAAGGGTTCTGAATGTTCCTGAAGGCGAAGGGGGAGAGGGCGCAGAGCAGGGAGTGGGCGCTGCTCAGATGCTGGAACACGTGGCCCAGGGTGTGGGCCATATGCAAACTGTATGCAAATATGAGTGCTCGAAGGGTGACCTCTCAGCAGGCGGGATCCCCGCGGGGCCCCCTGGCCTGTTGGTCGGGGGGCCAGGGGACGGCCCTGTAGGGCCCACCTCAGGGAGAGACCCAGTCTCACAAGTTCCCTCCCGCTCGCTCACAGCCAGAGGGTCCCGCAGAAAGACATTGCAGTCCTTGGGAGGGGGAGTTGGCCTCAGCCCCCGCCCGCCCCCGCCCGCCCCCGCCCCCGCGTGCGGCGGTGGGAACGGGGTGTCGGGTTACAGCGCGGGGGCTATAGTTAGCCCCGGGAACCTCGCTCTCAGCCGGACTCCAGGACTGCTCAGCGCCCGCCCGAGCCCTTGGGGCTCCCTCCGGCTCGCGGCCTCCGCAACCCGCAGGTGGGTCCTCGGCCCCCGGCCCTCCCCTCTCGGGCGGAGACAAACTGTGGCCCCGCCTTTACCGTCTCAGAAAGGTCCCCGGGCGCGAGGCTCTGAGGAAGGGGCTTCGCGAGTTGGGAGCGAAGACTCGGGGCGGGGGAACCATAAACTCTGAGACCCCACCCACGCCCCGCCGGGGCCCCAATCCTGGACCAGGGACCCCGCGCGCCTGGAGCCCCTCGAAGCCAGGACTCCAGCGCCGGTGGTCCCGCCCTCACTCGGACCTGGGACCTGGCCCTCACGTCTTCCTCAGGGATGGCGCTGGCGGGTCTGCTGATCGCCCTGGGCTGCCTCGGCCTCCACGCCTTCTGGCAGGTAACTCCAGGGACCATTTCCTGCCCCCATGGGGGACATTGCGGGGCAGACCTTGAGGAAGTGGACCGGGGGCTGACTCCTCACAACCCTCTCCCAGGGACTCTTCCCTAGGATTCCACTCTTAACTCTCTGCCTCTCAGAAACCTCCATATCTGCAGGGAGCTCCAGGTTCCCATTCTGCCTCCTGGAACCCCCGCCTCCATCCCTCCCTGGTGCCTCCAACATTCTCCTCCCCACGTCTCATCTCCCAGCGCAGGCACAGCCCGGGCAAGCCTCCTTGGGCTGGCTACCAGTGTGCTTCAGTCCTGGCAGCTTCTCCTGACCAAGGCTTGGCCTCCCCACCTTCCCTACCCCAAATGTGGGTATAGAGCTGGGGAGGACTCGGGTGTCTCAGAGCTGACAGCGATTTGGTGGGGTGGCTGAGCACCTGCAAGCGCCTCCTTCAGGGTGAGCGGGAAAGAGCCTGAGGAGAATGCGGCTGAGGGTCAGGTAGCTGGACACTGGCTGTGTGTAATATTTGCAGATCGCCTGCGTGCCAGATCTTACAGCCAGAAAAGTGCTTGGCAGTCATCTAGTCCCACCTCCCACCTCCTACCAACTGCAGGAACCTTTCTAACGACAGGATGACCCCTTTTACGTTGTACAGAAGTGAAGCTCTTTATGCTTTCTTCATAATAACTGTGAGGCTGGAAGTATCCTCAAGTTCAGAAAAGTTATAACACTTGCCCAAGACCTCACAGCGAATAGGTGGTAAAGTCAAGATTTCAGGCTACGGCCGGGCGCGGTGGCTCAAGCCTGTAATCCCAGCACTTTGGGAGGCCGAGGTGGGTGGATCACGAGGTCAAAAGATCAAGACCATCCTGGTCAACATGGTGAAACCCCATCTCTACTAAAAATACAAAAAATTAGCTGGGCATGGTGGTGCGTGCCTGTAGTCCCAGCTACTCAGGAGGCTGAGGCAGGAGAATTGCCTGAACCCAGGAGGCGGAGGTTGCGGTGAGCCGAGATCGCGCTATTGCACTCCAGCCTGGGTAACAAGAGCGAAACTCCGTCTCAAAAAAAAAAAAAAAAAAAAAAAAAAAAAAGATTTCAGGCTAGGCGCAGTGGTTCACACCTGTAATCCCAGCACTTTGGGAGGCTGAGGTGGGAGGATCACTTGAGGTCAGGAGTTTTAGACCAACCTGGCCAAAATGGTGAAACACTATTTCTACTAAAAATATAAAAATTAGGCTGGCACAGTGGCTCATGCCTGTAATCCCAGCACTTTAGGAGGCTGAGGTTGGTGGATCACTTGAGGTCAGAAGTTCAAGACCAGTCTGGCCAACATGGTGAAACCCTGTCTCTACTAAATATAGAGAAAAGTAGCTGGGTGTGGTAGCTCACGCCTGTAATCCCAGCTACTTGGGAGGCTGAGACAGGAGAATCACTCGAACCCAGGAAGCGGAGGTTACAGTGAGCTGAGATGGTGCCATTTCACTCCAGCCTGGGCAACAGACTGAGACTTCATCTCAAAAAAAAAAAAATAATAATAATAATAAATTAGCCAGGCATGGTGGTATGCACAGGTAATCCCAGTTACTTGGAAGGCTGAGGCTGGAGTGAGCAGAGATCTCACCACTGCATTCCAGCCTTGGCGACAGAGCAAGACTCTCAAAAAAAAAAAAAAAAAAAAAAAAAAAAAAAAAAAAATATATATATATATATTTTAGCCAATGTCTGTGTGACTTCAGCGCCTGTGTTATTTAAGCCTTTTTTGGGCCCTTGCCAAATTGCATACACCGATATTTGGGGATAGAAATGAGATTCTGTGTTTCTGGATGGGTCTGTCACCAGTACCCCTGTCCAGTGCTCTGAACTCATGCTTTTTTCTGTGTGGCACCTCTCTTCCTTCCTACACAGGCCCAGGCTGTTCCCATCCTGCCCCTGGGCCTGGCTCCAGACACCTTTGACGATGCCTATGTGGGTTGTGCAGAGGAGATGGAGAAGGAGGCAGCCCCCTTGCTGAAGGAGGAAATGGCCCACCATGCCCTGCTGCGAGAATCCTGGGAGGCAGCCCAGGCAGCCTGGGAGCACAGGCAACGAGGGCTCACCTTGCCTCCTGGCTTCAAAGCCCATCATGGAATAGCCATTATGGTCTACACCAACTCATCTAACACCTTGTACTGGGAGTTGAATCAGGCCGTGCGGACGGGCGGAGGCTCCCGGGAGCTCTACATGAGGCACTTTCCCTTCAAGGCCCTGCATTTCTACCTGATCCGGGCCCTGCAGCTGCTTCGAGGCGATGGGGGCTGCAGCAGGAGGCCTGGAGAGGTGGTGTTCCGAGGTGTGGGCAGCCTTCACTTTGAACCCAAGAGGCTGGGGGACTCTGTCCGCTTAGGCCAGTTTGCCTCCAGTTCCCTGGATAAGGCAGTGGCCCGCAGATTCGGTAATGCCACCCTCTTCTCTCTAATGACTTGCTTTGGGGCCCCTATCCAGGCCTTGTCTGTCTTTCCCAAGGAGCGTGAGGTGTTGATTCCCCCCCATGAAGTCTTCTTGGTCACCAGATTCTCCCAGGATGGAGCCCAGAGCCTGGTGACTCTCTGGAGTTATAATCAGACCTGTAGCCACTTTAAGTGCGCCTATCTGGGTGGTGAGCTGTGCATGGGGGAAGCAGGACTGGCAGGGTGGGTGAAATAAGCCAGGACATCCCTTCCCAATAATCCCTGGGGCCTTTGGGAGACCCACTTGGTGAAAGGGGAATTGAGGGCTGGAAGTCAGCTGGATTTACTGTCCTCTGTGATGCAAGTTTTTTAGGTCCTATAAGTGTTTTCCAGATTTGTGAATAGTCTCAGATGATTCTATATGTTCTCAGAAGGGTCCATCTGCTACAGTCTAATAGACCAAAAGAACCTGGTTAAGGAGATTAGCAAGCAGCAGAAAGAGCCAGGGGACTGCTTCAGATCTCAGGAGGCCCTGGGCTTGATGGGGCTGACAGGGGACTTACGTGCCATTCCCAAGTGCTGAGGGAGGGACAGATGGAGGAGTGGCTGGGTCTTGGTGGGAGGAGGGATGGAAAGTCAATCTGGAAAGACTTCCTGGAGGAAGCAGGAGGAAGGGAAGTCACAAGTTTACCTTTAGGTGAAGGGAAAGGTAGATTGAGAGGGGAAAGGACCCTGCAAGGGCCTGGTGGGCCAGGTAGTTTGGGTGTGAGTCTGTCAGCACCGAGGCGTCACCCTGCTGTCTGTTGCAGGGGAGAAGAGGCGGGGCTGTGTGTCTGCACCAGGTGAGTTGCTCTTCCATCCTCCCTCAGCTACTTTGACTCCCCCTCGCCCTGCCAACCCCTTCCTCTTCTCCCTCCAGCAGAGATGCAGCCAGAGTCACAATCTGAGGGGGCCTTTTCTCTGCCTTCTTGGAAGACCCTGCCCTTGGCCCCTGGGGAGTTCCAGCTCTCAGGGGTTGGTCCCTGAAAGTCCAAAACCTGCCACTTAGGAGCCCTGGGAACGGGTGACCTTCATATGAAGAAGAGGCGCCTCCAGCAGCCTCGAGAAGCAAGAACATGGTTCCGGACCCAGTCCTAGCAGCCTTCTCCCCAATCAGGATGTGGGGCTGGGGAGGCCACAGCAGGGCTGAGGGAACTCTGCTATGTGGTGGGGACTTCCTGGGATAAGCAAGGGAAGTACTAAGGCAGCCACTTGATTAAGCGGTGTTGCAGTGTGGAGACATGGAGTTTTATGAGGCAGCCACTTGATTAAACAGTATTGCAGTGTGGAGACATGAAATTTTATGATTGCCTTCTTCTATGAGACTGCTTCACTCTGGCCTTGCTAGGCTGAGAGACTGACTGAGGAACTAAAAAAACTCACTTCTTGGTCACTTGCAGACATGGTCTCCTGTGCAGACCCATGTCACACACTCTAACTTGCAAATCCAGAAGCTTAAACTTAAGCTAGCGGGTCCTCATGACGACCACAAAAGCAGGAAAGCAGGCAGGTGATTCCTCAGCCCCACTTGTCAGGTGAGGAATGCATAGCCAAGGAAGGAAGCAATTGGTCAGAGGGTTCCCACTGAACCTTCACCTCCTGCCTCCAGAACTCTCTCCATGAAAGATCTGAGGAAGCTCAAAGTAGGATCCTAAGCCCAAGAGCACATTACTCTGCCCTGTTCCCACAAGGGTCCATTTCAGGGGAAAGAAGCAGGAGGACCTCAAAACATCAAGAGACAGAGATTCTCACACAGCCCAGAAGCCTCGCACATCCAGAACAGAAACTTTATTGAAGCACGGAAAGCAGCACAGGCTCCTCCCAAGAGGCCCCCACCCTCGCCCTCCTAGGCTACTGCGCTCAGCAACAGAAGAGACCCTTCCGCTGTATCAGATCCTCCCCTCCATCCCCGAATCCTCCCCGTGGGGCAGGTCCTCAGCCCCCTCTGTTTCCTGCTGCCTGTGCACTAGCACATGAGCTGGGGAGCTGGGGTCAGACTCTCCAGAAGCCAGAGTCCTCACCTCTCCAGTGTCCTGAAGCCTGGTTCCTGATGATTCCTGGGTCCCCACAATCCTGGGCCCTGTCAGCTCTGGGGTGTCAGGAATGGGGGGCCCCAGGTTTTGGAAACTGTTGTGTACTTGGGTGACATAGTGACGGAGGACCCTGGCACTGTCGGGAGGCCGGGGTGTTCCTCCCTCTGCCAGAGTCCGCCGCACACCGGCTACCTCGCTCTGTAGTCGAGATACGGTCTTCGTCAGCTCTGTGAGTCTGTTGCCCAGGTCTGGAGGAGGTGGAGTATCGAGGAGCCTTTCAAGGGATGAGCCTGCCCTGTACCCCTTTTACCCTTTACAGAATCCCAGAGGTTGCCCTATCTGGAGTTTCTGAGGGAGAACTGGAAGAAGTGAAGATCAGGCTTGTGGGCTAGGGGTCAGATGGGTGGGTGAAGCTGGGGCAAGTGAATCCTAGCAGGGGTGGGAGGGAGGAGCTGGAAAGAAGGAAAGTCTAGGGGCCAGAGAAGGGTGACGAGCCATGCGGAAAGCTGTTACTGGGTAGAGACTCGTGCATCCACCTGCCTGCCCTCTCCTCAGTCATGGCCAGCCAGCTCACACTCATCCTTCAGGGCCCTGTTCGGATCCCAGCCCCTTTATCCATTCTGCTACTCTCTCCTTCTGCCTCGCAAAATGACAAGCTCCTTCTTCCTTCGGGCACCCGTAGCAATTCGCATCTCTCTTAGCTGCACTTCATGCCCAGTGTGATGGTTTCTCTTCCTCACTAGACTGAAAGCTTCCCATGTGTCCCTGCTCTACAGTGCCCCATCTGTCCCTCCAAGACAGGGCCTGGAACGAAGGAGGCCATAGCGATGAATGTTGGTGGAGTGAGTCAGTAAATGAATGAGTGAATGAAGGAGGTGAATGAGTGACTGGGTAAGGGACTGAATGGGAGAATAACTGAACACACAGGAAGGCAGGAAGGAGCACTTAAATGAAATGAGTGGAATCAATGCCAAATGGGCCAGAGGGTAATGGAGTGCAAGGGGCTGCGTTGTGCAGGCTGCCCTTCCAAGGGCAGAGCAGGATGGGGCCACATATTATGCAGGCTGAATGCGGACCTGACTCTGGTATGGGGCCTTTATCCCAGCTGAGGAAGGAACAGGAATGGGGAGAGCTTAGAGGAGCTTAAAGGAGGGTGACGCACCTTTCCGCTGGGTCTCCTCAAACTCGCGCCGCGCAGTCTCTATGTAGCGCTGTACCAGGGCCTTGATGACGCGAAGGCGGTAGGATCCACGCTCTCCCTTCCCAGGAATGGCCCCTGCCCCGGGATTGGCCTGGAATGGGAAGACAGGAGGGTGAGAGAGATTCTCTCCAACCTTCTTCTGATCACTGTCCATGCCTCTCCAGCCCTGGGCAAAAAAGGCCCAGGGCAAAGTCTTCCGTGTAGACTTTCCTGTCCCTGACCCGCGTAGCCCCTGGCCTCCATGTCACAGTGCAGACCTGGAAGGTAGAAGGACAGGGGCCAGAAGCTGGGGAAGGGCTGATGGTGAGAGAACCAGGAAGGGATGAGTGAGGGCTGGGAGGCCGATGGTGAGGAGGGGAGAACCCCCTACAGACCTGCAGTGCCTGAATTAGGAAGGCACCCTCGTGCCAGGCCAGACGGGGCTGAAGAGTAGACCTCGAGGGGCAAGTGAGCTTCTTGGATGTCCGGCCTCCTGGCCTCCTCTCTCAGGCCACTGTCAGCCGTCTAACTGCTCAGTTTGTGGGACATTTACCTTTGGCTTCTTAATATGTGTTTTTGAAAAATGTTCAACTATGTCTTGGAGCAGTTTAGGACAAAAAAGGTCTGTCTGGAGCTTAGTGGGTATTTCTAGCTTGGGAGCAGGGTGGCAAGGACTTCTGTTTAGGCTGCGTGACACAGGGTTGGAAATTTAGGAAATGGCCAGAGCCAGGAAGAGGGAAAGGGAAGCCACGTGCGAGAGTAGGAATTGGGACAGGCTTTCTGGAGAACATACCTGGAAAGATAGATAAGCCCGGGATATGCAGACAAGTTGATGGTATGGACACAGAGCTGAAGGCCTGATGCCAGGGTGACCAGCAACAGGCTGAAGAGGTACTCACAAAGGTGGGGATGGGGGGATTGTCTGGCTTCTTGGTGTTGCAGCAGGAACAGCAACAGCAAATGAACTGGCAAATTCTCCTGAGAGATTTCAATGGTGGGAAGAGGTTGGTTAGAGGACAGGACCTAGGGAAATGGGGGCAGGGCCTGGGGACTTGGGGGTGGGAGTGGGAGCTCTGAGGTCAGCACCTGAGAAGGTAGAAGACAGCCTTCGGGGAGGGCAGGATGTTGAAAGGCACAGGCAGCGTCAGGCCCTCTCGGAAGTAGGACAGATAGAGCTTGGAGCGTGCGAACTTCCACTCCACATCAGCATCATCCTGGGGGCCAGGCAGCAGGGGGTGGTGCAAGGACCCTTTTGGCACATGATCCTCCTGCCCACTCAATCTGCCTCTCTTTTCTCCAGTACTCACAGTTTTGATTCTCCAGTGTAGTGTGCCAGGCTCTTTCTTCTCCCCAGTCTTATCTCCGACCTCCGCTATCACCCGCATTTCTCCGGCCTGTACCCCGCTCCCTCTCTCCCCACCACTGTCTTTCATCTTTCTGACATCCAGTTCCTGCCCAGCCTGTTCTCCAGCCTGCAGACCCTAACCCATCGTCTCCCTCTCATGTTCCCATTTACTTTTCTACAACACCACTCCTCTGCCCAACCCTAAAGGGGAATGAGCACTAGACTTGGTGTCTGGAGATACTAACAGCATCACTAAGACCCTCATTTTACAGAGGAACACTTGTGTAAAGCCATGAACAATACAACAGTGGCGGCAGAGCATGACTCCAATGTCTTGCCTCTTTGCACCTTATTCCTCTCCATTCCTTTCTCCCTTCTTCTCCCTGGCCTAAATTGGCCTCCGTTTACGCACCTCGATCTTCTGGAAGGAGTTGGTGATCATAGCAATGAGCATGTTGAGCAGCACAATGACCATGACGATGGTGAAGATGCCATAGAGGGCCCGGCCCACAAATTCAGGCACCAGAAACTGAGGCATGTCCACCACACTGTGCTCCTCCATGCCGAACATGGTCCAGAACAGAAACTGGAACGTCTCATTGAAACTGGCATATTGGGCCAAGTAAGGAACAGAAAATGAGGGGTGGGAGATGAGCCTGAGCTCACCCAGACACACTCCCCTCTACCCCCCAGGACCTGGCCAAGAGCGCCCACTTCTATGCAGCCCTTTGGACCACCTCAGCTGGTGTAGATACTTGCTGTTTCTGAGCTCCGAATGTTATTCTTTGCACCAGTATTTACTGGGTGCACAGTAGTGTCACAGGTGCTAAGGATACGTCAGTGGACAAGACAAGCATGTACCTGTCTTCCTGGCCTTATGTTCCGGGGTGGGGCCAGGATGGGCTGGACACTACTTATACCAACAATTTTAAATTGTGGCACGGTGTGGTGACTCACACGTGTAATCCTAGCATTTTGGGAGGCTGAGGTGGGCAGATTGCTTGAGCCCAAGAGTTGGAGACAAATCTAGGCATTTTGGGTGTTACATTTTTTGAATGTGATAATGCTTTTGTAGTTATGTTCTTAGGAGACATCCTGAACTGTTTAGGGATGAAGTGTCATGATAGTCACAACTTCCTTTTAAGTGTTTCAGGGAAAAAAAGAATAAAGGGAGCAATAGATCAAGCAAATGTGGTAAAAGGTTAACAATTGGTGAAGCTAGGTGAAGGGTGTAGGGACATCTACTTTTCGTAGAATTGACATTTTTTAAAATAAAAAGTTTGGAGAGAAAATGAGAAAATGAATGTATAAATGAACAAATGAATGAGTGACAGTGAATCAAAGAGGGAATGAGCAAACAAGATAATTCATTGGGTGAATAAATGAGGGAGGGAGGGACAAAGGAGAGATCACTAGGGCTCCAAGCTGCTGCAAGGTCCCAGGCTCTCCACCTCCCATCCTGCCTCTGCCCCTGCATACTTGCCCAGCCGCTCTGTCTCCTGGTAGGGCACATAGATATTGTTGAGACCACAGAGGAAGGCAGTCAGGATGATCATGAGGATGAACATAAACCTGGCAAGGGGTGGGATGTGAAAGGATCAGAGAAGGTCTCCACCTTGAGAGAAGTCAGGCTCCAGGAAGAGGGACGAAGGCCTCCTGGCTCTCTGCTCAACAAGTATTCAATTTGGTTATTTATTTTTACTTTTATTTTTGAGACAGGGTCTCGCTCTGTCACCCAGGCTGGAG